TGGACAACACATAGCCCAGCCTACACCTAGAAGTATTGTCCGCTTTGGCCTAAGCATGATAGCTGGCAAGCCACACGGATTTATTCCTTTGATTTTCCAAGGACGCCTCCACAATGGAAGTGTCCAATGCTATCTTATAAGTCTATTCTAAATATTATCTACAATCGATGTGGGATGGCAACACATATTTGAAACAAGGTAATTGAGAATATTATCCGCAATCGATGTGGGATGGCAACCCATATATTTGAAACAAATGATATAATAACAAATACATAGCTTGGACATGAACTTTGAATACATCATATTATTATTTTTCCAAACTAGTGTCGTTCAGTGGTCAATTTTATTGAATTATTTTAGAAAATTTGAAGTTATTTTCAAATTCTCAAAACTTTCATTTATATTTCTTTATTTATCTTGATGAAACTTTGTCCCACGTAAAAAAGAAAGGATAAAAATAATGTATTAATAAATGAAGTTTTCAAATTAATTTTTAAACGAAAGAGGCTTGATAATTTAAACCAAAAAAGTATTTCGACGGTGGAGGTATTGCTAATCAAGAGTGATAAAAAAAATTTATTAAAAAATCTACGTCAATAAATTTTTATTTTAACTTCACAAATGGTTGATATATATGTATTTTTAATAAACTTAAATAATTTGATAGGTATAGACTGTTAGTTTTTAAAATTTTAATCATATAATATAATCTTATGAAATCAAATAAAAATCTCGACATGATCGATCAAAATTCTAATATTTAGAGGCTGTTTGGCATGAGGGTTTTTGATGAAAATAGTCAAAATGTCAAAACATCCAATCACATCACTTTCTTCACTTTTTACACATGTTTTTTTAAAACATAAAAAAATCAATTAAAATAATCAATTCCCAAATAACCCCTAATGTCTTTTTTCACCTCTCCATTTATTTATATTAATCGTAACTAATAGATTAAAATTTTACAATGCACATGGCACGTTTGTTTGTCTGGTGAGTGCTACATATGAAATTAATATTCATTTCATCAACTTTTTTTTGTTATAATTTGAACTCACAAAATGATTACAGAGGTGTGAACCAAAATGATAAGCCAATAAGTCTCCAAAATTAAATTTATATATCATTCAATACTCAAGATCCAAGAATAATTAAAACAAAAAATAAAAACTAAAAAATTTTGCCAAACGGGCCTTACGAAGTTGAAATCGAGGCGTAATATAATTTGTTTTTATCAATTTAAATAGAATGGTTCACGACACTACAACTATAACAAAACTACACAATTCAAAGGATTTGTAAATTCATACCAACCCAACTCGAGTCAATGCCCGAACCCAAAAACAAATTAAGAATATTATTTAACAGATAGCCAAAAAAATAATAAATAAATAAATTCAATTTGATTCAACTCGCTACAAATATATTATTAACATCACAGTTATAAGAAGTATGCTATACAATGGTATTATTAAATTTTCAGAAATATCCCATGGCTTTTACTCAACCACCTTACTATAGAGGCTAATAAATTGTGTGCGTGACATTAGTAAGGCCAATCATCTAGCCACACAAGATCTTATGTCCCTATTTTTTCCTCCACATATTTCAAATTATTTATTTGTCATACGATAAGTTTGATCGTATAAAAAGAAATGATTCGAGACAATGAGTCAAGCCCATTTTGCCCAATGGGTCAACCCCGTGTGGTGATTTTTGGATCCAATGGGTCAAGCCCATTTTGCCCATAACCTTCCACTCTACAAAACTTGGGCACCCCTTGGGGCACACCCCAAGGTCCCATCCCATGCCTTATAAACCCACTCAGAACTTCCCACCAAATCAATGTGGGACAAGCCATTTTCCAACCTTAAGAAATTTCCACCAAAACTCCATTTCCATGGTGCTCACTTTGGCTTCAATTTTCTATTCACTCGATAATGGTTTTGAGCAACAAAATATACCACGGGAATCACAACGTAGCATAGAACGCGTTACCACTTAGACCCGCCAAAATAGAGGCACGGGTCCCACCTAAATAATAGACTAAAGTTAGGAAAAAATTCTGTTTTTACACAGAATTTTTCAACCATTTCCAACAAATTGTTATACAGTAGGGATTAGTTTTAGGTGTGAAAGTATTTTATGGAAAAACTTCAATGTTTGATTATGATGCTTGCATTTAGACACGACCCTGTGCATTGAGGTACATGAAATATTATTGGCCATTCAGATTTGCCAGCTCTAAGGTTGTGTTTTTCTATCCCGATCTAATCATGGTCGATTCTCATTATTGAATCTATTGATAACCTGACTAGTAAATCTATTTGTCCAAAAAAAAAAAGGGTTAAAAAATGTATTGAGAATTTGATTATGTGGGTTATCTTTTTTAATAAAAACACGCTTCTATGATGAATGAGGTATTGTGGACTATCTTGTACATTATTTGTAGCCATCCGTTCATGTCGAACACATAGCCCAACTACCACCTTGAGGCATGGACAACACATAGCCCAGCCAACACCTAGAAGTATTGTCCACTTTGGCCTAAGCATGATAGCTGGCAAGCCGCACGGATTTATTCCTTTGATTTTCCAAGAACGCCTCTACAATGGAAGTGTCCAATGCTATCTTATAAGTCTATTCAAAATATTATCTACAATCGATGTGGGATGGCAACACATATTTCAAACAAGATAATTGAGAATATTATCCGCAATCGATGTGGGATGGTAACCCATATATTTGAAACAAATGATATAATAACAAATATATAGCTTGGACATGAACTTTGAATACATCATATTAATATTTTTCCAAACTGGTGTCGTTCAATTGTCAATTTTATTGAATTATTTTAGAAAATTTGAAGTTATTTTCGAATTTTCAAAACTTTAATTTATATTTCTTTATTTATCATGATGAAACTTTATCCCACATAAAAAAGAAAGGATAAAAATAATGTATTAATAAATGAAGTTTTCAAAGTAATTTTTAAATCAAAGAGGCTTGATGATTTAAACCAAAAAAGCATTTAGACGGTGGAGGTATTGCTAATCAAGAGTGATAAAAAAAATTTATTAAAAAATCTACGTCAATAAATTTTTATTTTAACTTCACAAATGGTTGATATATATATATATATATTTTTAATAACCTTAAATAATTTGATAGGTATAGACTGTTAGTTTTTAAAATTTTAATCATATAATATAATTTTATGAAATCAAATAGAAATCTCGACATGATCGATCAAAATTCTAATATTTAGAGCTTGTTTGGCATGAGGGTTTTGATGAAAATAGTCAAAATGTTATAGCATCCAATCACATCACTTTCTTTACTTTTTACACACCTTTTCTTAAAACATAAAAAAATCAATTAAAATAATCAATTCCCAAATAACCCCTAATGTCTTTTTTCACCTCTCCATTTATTTATATTAATCGTAACTAATAGATAAAAATTTTACAATACATATGGCACATTTATTTGTTTGGTGAGTGCTACATATGAACTTAATATTCATTTTATCAACTTTTTTCTATTATAATTTGAACTCACAAAATGATTACAGAGGTGTGAACCAAAATGATATGAAATAAGTCTCAAAAATAAATTTATATATCATTCAATACTCAAGATCCAAGAATAATTAAAACAAAAAATAAAAAAAAATTCCGAACGGGCCTTACGAAGTTGAAATCGAGACGTAATATAATTTATTTTTATCAATTTAAATAGACTGGTTCACGACACTACAACTATAATAAAACTACACAATTCAAAGGATTTGTAAATTCATACCAACCCAACTCGAGTCAATGCCTGAACCCACAAACAAATTAAGAATATTATTTAACAGATACCCAAAAAAATAATAAATAAATTAATTCAATTTGATTCAACTCGTTTCAAATATATTATTAACATCACAGTTATAACAAGTATGCTATACAATGGTATTATTAAATTTTCAAAAATATCCCATGGCTTTTACTCAACCACCTTACTATAGAGGCTAATATATTGTGTGCATGACATTAGTAAGGCCAATCATCTAGCCACACAAGATCTTATGTCCCCATTTTTCAAATTATTTATATATCATACGATAAGTTTGACCGTGTAAAAAGAAATGATTTGAGACAATGAGTCAAGCCCATTTTGCCCAATGGGTCAAGCCCGTGTGGTGATTTTTGGATCCAATGGGTCAAGCCCATTTTGCCCATAACCTTCCTCTCTACAAAACTTGGGCACCCCTTGGGGCACACCCCAAGGTCCAATCCCATGCCTTATAAACCCACTCAAAACTTCCCACCAAATCAATGTGGGACAAGCCATTTTCCGACCTTAAGGAATTTCCACCAAAACTCCATTTTCATGGTGCTCACTTTGGCTTCAATTTCCCATTCACCTGATAATGGTTTTGAGCAACCAAATATACCACGTGAATCACAACGCGGCATAGAACTCGTTACCACTTAGACCCGCCAAAATAGACCCATGGGTCCCACCTAAATAATAGACTAAAGTTAGGAAAAAATATTGTTTTTACCCAGAATTTTTCAACCATTTCACTACAGGAAAAGATGGCTATTGCAATGCTTCTTTTATGGCGTTTATGAAAAACGCCATTATAGATAATATACCACGTGAATCACAACGCGGCATAGAACTCGTTACCACTTAGACCCGCCAAAATAGACCCATGGGTCCCACCTAAATAATAGACTAAAGTTAGGAAAAAATTTTGTTTTTACCCAGAATTTTTCAACCATTTCACTAAAGGAAAAGATGGCTATTGCAATGCTTCTTTTATGGCGTTTATGAAAAACGCCGTTATAGATTATTTAAATACAACGTTTTTAAAAACGTTATATCTGATCTCAGTTAAACGGCACCGTTTGGGTCAACTTGTTAACACCGTTCAATACTCCGTCCCTTTCAAAATGTCTCTCCCTCAGTCTCACTCTCAGTCTCCCTCTCAGTCTCACTTTCAAAGCTCAGAAACCCTTTCGATTTGAAGCTCAAAAACCCCCACTCTCACTGATTTGAAATGCTCACTCTTGCTCGATTTCAAACAATCTTTCTCGCTCGATTTCAAACATTTTCTCTCACTCGATTTCAAACACTCTCGATCGATTTCAGATCTGTCGATTTCAAAACCTACCACAGATTTGAACTTCACCAGATTTGTACTTATCTTCTGATTTTGGTTCTCCTCTCTTTGGATTTTGTGAGTTTCGATTTTGGTCCTTTGGTTCTCCTCTCGTTTAGGCCCCCTCCTTCTTCTTTTTTTGAAGATCTATAAGTTTGTTGCTGCTCTGTTTTGTTGCAGATCTCGCTCAATCGGTCTCTTTTTTTTGTTGTAGAACTCAGATCTGTAAGTTTTTATTATATATGCATTTGTTTTGTATGAACTCAAATCTCTGATTTTTCATTGTTTTGAGTTCATTGTTTTGGATTTGGTGGATGTATCTCACCTCTCTCTCACGCACACACATCAAGCTATTAATGTTTCTTTCTAATCTACTCAATCCTCTTTAAATTTGTTTTCATTCACATTTCTCACAACGGAAATAATAACAGTTTGATTTTTAATTTTTATTATTCGAGGAAGAAAAGACCTACATTATATATGCATTTGTTTTGTATGAACTCAAATCTCTGATTTTTCATTGTTTTGAGTTCATTGTTTTGGATTTGGTGGATGTATCTCACCTCTCTCTCACGCACACACATCAAGCTATTAATGTTTCTTTCTAATCTACTCAATCCTCTTTAAATTTGTTTTCGTTCACATTTCTCACAACGGAAATAATAACAGTTTGATTTTTAATTTTTATTATTCGAGGGAGAAAAGACCTACATTAAGATAAAGGAAGACTACATATGTTAAACTTGCATAGGTTGCATCCCGAATAAAAACCAATTTTGTTATTCAAAAAAATGATGCTCTTGAGTAGAACTATTTTTGAAATATTTCAAAAAAGATGTGGTTATTTGATTTTATCCCTTCTATTATTTTTTCCACATTTAATGATGATGAGAGGAGAATTATCTGCAATGTAAGCGAAAATGTAAAACAAGTACTTTTTGTGTGTGTGTGTGTGTGTGTGTGTGTGTGATTAGCATCCGGTTCTTAACTTGATAGCTTGCAAGATATAGTGACAACAATTCAGAGTCATAGTATAAGCTCATTTAAATTTGTGCATGAAAAACATTTCTGAGAACAGTAATTGGATTATTGAAAAGTTTTCTTTTGCTGTGTGACTCATCTTATATTTCATGTGTGTTTACCTCAATTTAGATACAACTTGGCTCTACTTGTCTGACTAGATAAGATCCCAATCAATATTAGCGTGATTTAAATGAATGTTAGCTGAATGCATCAATAGCAACTTTGATCCTCAAGCTTTACTAAAACTTTGTCTTGGCTTTGATGAGCCACTTCCCAATGGTCCTCCGTATCATCTGCTTGTTGATAATCTTATAATTCAAACTCTTGGCAACATAGATATATATATATATATATATGTTTTATACATTTTGCAGATATGGTTGCAAGTCTGCATCCATCATGTTACAACCTTATGAACATTTGTTATCTGGCATGCTAAATTATGCAGTTCCTTTTATCTTCTTTGTCTGAGTTATGTGTGCTTGATTGCAATGACCATGATAATGTTAGTTGTTACCCATTGAAATTCTACAACTGCTACTTTGTTTTCCTGTATAATTTCTGCATTTCTTGGGAACCTAATGGAGCAAGACTTTGTATTAATTTTAAGTGAATGCTGTAGTTTTCTGTTTTTCTTACAGAGTGGGAATGTAATAATTTTCATTCTGCACCTTCAAACGATACATTTCTGTAATAAAGTAGTTCCAAGTATCACTTTCTTTCACCACAGAACCACAATTGTTATTATCTTACCCAGCTTAAATATCACTTTGATATATCACTAACTTTGGAAATCCAATTTTGCAGTTCAACAAATAAACCTAAAGTCATATTGTTGCTACATTTCTCATATATATAAAGTAACCAAATGTATGGCTGAGATAACTCCTTATAGTTTTTATTATTCTAGAGTATGTATTAAGGGGGCATGTAATCTATTTTTCTCTGGTACAATTTCAAATGATTTGCTTTCATGCAGCATGTCATCTTTGCATATTTTCCCAAATACCCAATCATATTCCTTCATTTGGTAATATGAAATTCAACCCCATATGAGGTGGTTACTTGTCACAGAAACAGTGACATATACATCATGTCAGTACGTGCATACTATTTTCTGATGTGCTTCTATGGCAGACGAAGTAGTATGCAATATGCGATGAGAAGGCTTGAAGCATAGCAACGCTAACTTTGTGGGGTCTCTATTTTAATAAACTTTCACAATGCTGTCATATGTACAAACTTAGGATGATATGCCATTCAATAAAATCTCTCTCTAAGGCAGTCATGACACATCTGTCATGTTGGTACTTGTGGAACAGATAACCCAAAAAAGACCGAACACTTGCTTGCACTTGATGGAGCTAAGGAGAGACTTCATTTGTTTCAAGCAGACTTACTGGAAGAAGGATCATTTGATCCAATAGTAGATGGATGTGAAGGTGTTTTTCACACAGCATCTCCTGTTCATTTTTCAGTGAGTGACCCAAAGGAATGTATTGTATTACTTTATTGACACTGTAAATTTAGGATGTCAACACATTTTTACAACGAACCACCAATCTTGTAATTATTAACACTTTTGAGTTGATTTATCCATGTGATAGAATAGTAGATGCCAAGCAGTCAAAGAAAAACCAAAGGAAAACTACAAAATTTTCAATTTTGTTTAGGTTAGGGCATACTTGGGATCTCAGGTAATTAGTTTTAGGCCTTTTTTTTTTGGGGGGAGGGGGGAAAGATTTCAAATTGATGAGCTTGGCTGACTCCAAGGGCTCTGGTGCTTTTGCACTGCACCACTGGTCTTTATTTGTATATATTTTCTAAATTAATCTGCTGGACATATCAATTAATCTTTTGGTTTGTAGAGTCATGTTCAGGCCAGTCTGAA